GCATCTCTACCAACTCCTAAAATACGCAACGCTACTGCACAACTCACACATCCCTAATACGCATAAAAAAACTTCACACACGCCTGGTACATCGACGCCCAAATATACGCTCCCAAAGCGTCTTGTTTGATTATGTTTTTTTTAAACGTACCGAAAGCTCCGCATCCATGCTAATGTTTTCTTATCGTTGTCTACCGTTTACACGCTCAAACACGTATCTTAGAATTTTATCTTCCAATCGTCTTTTTTGTCAGGCTATTCTCGCATATCAGTTTCCTGTTTCAGAGACCGTTCGCGGGTACAGAAATAATTAATTAAATAACTAAATATTAAATATCGGCAGTGTTCGATAGGGCTTCTGTTCACACACAAGAACGGTTGTGGCGGGGACGAATTCTGTGATGGAGCGACGCTGCGCCAGGCCGATCTCAAAAGTGGAGTATCAGATATCGGATAGGTTTTTTGTCATACTTTAGTGCAGTGTAAACACCTATTCGGCCCGTCGCGGAAGTAAATCGGTAGAAGGGACTACTGGAACCCACTGAGACGGAAGTAAATAACCCGGAGAGAGGACTGGAATTGAGTGCACCAAACTCTCTCGGCCAATCGCGCCGCTACGATGTTCGATGTCATTGATTGATTAATAAATTGATTGATTGATTGATTTGAACGACTTGTGTGGCCCCGGCCCGTTGTTGTTCACACTATACTGGATAGCTTTTTGTGGTGTTACGAACATTTTTTCTTTTTTTTAAGCTCATTTTGATTAAGTGTCCTATAGCGCTAGCGACCGTGGTCTTTTTCCTCCAAGCTTATAGTAGCTTTGACCTCAGCGTTTTTGAAAACGGTTTGTTTTGTCCTCTTGCTACACCTGCATTTTCCACTTTGAAGGGCATTTTCTTAACCAACCCCCCACCTTTGTTATACGGAGCATAAAAATGTGTATTACTGTGAAGGGGGCCTAAGTACTATAGGGTGAACTGAATTATCCTTTTTGCGGGGAATATAATTTGAGTACGTTGGATATCGCCAATGACAACACACAATTTGATCTTTATCTGACAAAGGCACCCTCATGGTATGAAATGTAATAGGCCACTCCACCTCCGATTTCCAAACCGCCTCACTTTCAAAATAAGGCCAAGTGCACAACCTTTCTTGTGAAAATGAGTTTTATTTGGATGAGAATAAAAAATGATTTCCATATGAAAGGCTGAGCACTTAACCTCGTTTTGGAACCGAGGCCTGGGGAACTCGGAAATGTCTTATTATAAAATTAGTGAGTCGCGCGTATTCGTTCATGCTACATTTACTGTCCTGACAACAGTCAAGTATTCTTCTGGTTTCGGTTCATTAGTTTAAGTTGTGTAAACTGTGTATGATACTGAAATTCATTACCAGTTCACAGTATTTGCAGTCATCCTAAAACGGAATTTATTTTAACGGAGATTTTCAAAAACGGGGTATTTCTGAATGACTTTCGTTCTTGGGCCATCGCAGCCTGAGACTGTTCATAATTCCATCGCACTTTGTAATAAACTAATGAAGTGATTCAACTTACTCAGCAGACTCCCCTCTTTGAAACCTCTAATTTTTCTGTACCCCTCTTTGACGCAACTCTTGTTTTTGTTGACTTTGTTTGTTATGTTTTGCAGTGTTTTTAACTAATTTGTTAACTTTTTGCTGTCTTTTTGTCTTGTATTCACTATTTAAGTGTCAAAAAAATTAATAAAAGCTATTACATTACAAAAAAACCTTGGCTCGTTCATTGTTTTACCAACCAATCCTCTGAGGCTTGTTACAGCTGCAAAGCGATTTACTCACTTGGTACATTTGTCTTTTAAAAAACGTGAATGGTGCCCCCTTATCAACGGTGATGATTTCATTAAGCACTCAACTTACGAAAATTGCTTTTATCTCCACTATAGTTTACGCTGGTCTTGTGACTTACGAAATTCTGTTATACCTGCCCCTCGTTATCATAAAAAGGTGCTCTGCAAGCAATGGCCACTCGGAATGTATGTATATCACTAAAAACATTAGTCACGTGCTTTGAAACCCGGAAAAGCTTCCTGCTTTTGATTAAAATATTTTAGGTGATTCCAAAAAAATGCCTTTACTAGGCAAAGGTGTTTATTTACTTACCTACAACCTTTTTCAAATCTATCGTCCCTCTAGCAGTTCTTATGACCCAAATTATTTAAATCATAAGAGCTCCCTTGGGTTCGTTCCAGCGTTTCCTTTGCTTTGGTACCAATCACGGGCCAGTTATTGGTTAAAGGTGCAATTTCTTTGGCTGTTCTATTCTAACCTTTTATTGGTTTACCTCCGGTTATACAAAGGAAAAACGTTCTTTCGTTAGGAGGGTAACGAAGATTACTCTCGAATTGTTTGAAAGACATGATAAATGCAAAGGTTTTTACCAAACAAGTCGAGATCAAAGTATTAATTATGGCTTCTTTGCTAAACCACTATAAATACATAAAATGCTCCTTAACGT